ACATGGTGGGTATAGTTTAATTACATCTGTGTACAAATATTTGGATGGGGAAAAGAGTCAAAACAATAATAATAGTGGTTCTATCAAGTGCATCGGATTGGGACTAGGGAGATGGCTCAGTAGAATAAGCGCTTCCCTGGCAAGCGCAAGGGCCTGAGTTCAATTCCCAATTCTGAAAAAAAAAAAAAAATCATCACAAGTTAGTAGGATTGTGGGGTTTTTTTAAATATCTTATTTATTTTTAGGTTTGTGATTTTTCTTGTGTGTGTGTAACCAGGGATTGAACTCAGGCCCTTGCACTTGCCAGGCAAGCACTTATTCTACTGAGCTACCTCCCCGGCCCCTATTTTTAGGATTTTTGAGACAAGGTCTTGCTCTACAGTTCATATTGGGATTACAGGTGAGCACCACCACATCTGCTACTTTAAAAAAAGTTACACATATTCACTGTGGGAAAAGTGAAAACGCTGAAAAAATAAGGAAAAAGAAAAAACAAAAAACCTTGAAATCCCAGCACTTAAGAGGCTGAGGCAGGAGAAGCACTGTAAGTTTGAGGCCAGCCTGGGCTACATAGTGAGTTCAAGGATAGCCAGAACTACATAGTGAGTTCTCAAAAAAAAGACAAGAAAATCCAGAGCAAACCACTGCCACTACTGAAGTCAGTTTGGTCCTCTCACCTCCACTTAAGAAATCCTAGGCTTTTTGAATTTTTTTTTTTTCAGAACCAGGGATTGAACTCACACCCTTGTGCTTGCCAGGGAAGCGCTTATTCTGCTGAACCATCTCCCTGCCCCTCTTTTTCTTTTGAACATTTTTAGACTTCAAAAAAGAGACTTTTAAGGGGCTGGGGAGATGGTTCAGTGGAATAAGCGCTTCCCTGGCAAGCACAGGGGTCTGAGTTCAATCCCTGGTTCTGCCACAACAACAAAAAGTAACTTTTAAGTCACATGTATTGGAAAGTCATAATGTATTTTTCCTACTATGTTTTCTGCAGTGTTTCTCTGAAAAAAAAATTTAGAACACAATTAATGATAAAGCTGTATCATTAATCGAACTCAGAAAGCTCTTCAGGTAAGAGAGGACTGTGGAAGACAGGAACCGGGCTGGAGAGCTGGGGCGCCTGGGTGTTGTTTCCCGTGGGGACTGCAGGGAGGGCTCTGCGGCTGTGGGGCGCTACTCTGCGGGATAGGGCCTCCTCCTCCTGAGGCTTTGAACTTGAAGACGTGACATTTCTTTTATTTATTTATTTTTATTTATTTATTTTTTAATTTTAATTTTTTTTAAGTGTGTGTGTGTGTGTGTGTGTGTGTGTGTGTGTGTGTGGCCAGCTCAGCCCACCAGGGGGCGGGGCTGGCTGGCATGTGGTGCTGCGGGATTGAACCGTAGGCCCTGTGCTTTGCTAAGCTTGTTCTAAGTAGGTGCTTTAGACCACTGAGCCATCTCACCAGCCCTTGAAGACGTGACATTTCAATGTGGAAGACTAGCAGCAGCTTTAGGCCTGGAAAGGGAGTCCCCTCCCCTCGAGTCCAAACCCCCTCAACCCGGGTTGGTGTCCTGGATGATTGACCTGAGGTCAAGAACAGATGTAATGGGGTTCAGAGGTGGAAACATGGGGAGGGAAGCACTAATAGACGCGTTTCCAGACCAGGGAGGCGTCTTGAAGGTGTCATAGGAAAGAGGGTGGGGAAACCGAGCCTTGACAGGCAATGGGGCGGAGGCGGATCCTGCAAGGCTGTATAATCTGGCATCGAGAAGAGAGCAGCAGAGGGCAGGGAGAAGAGGCGGGGACAGAGGCGGGAGCGGATGGAGGTCTAGTCGTGGGGAGGCGTGGGCTGGGGGCCGGAGGAGGGCGGGGAGCGGCGTGCGTTGTGCGCACGGATTTATACGAGAGCGTGATGGGCAGCAGGCCGGGAGCCGAGAGGTGGGGCAGGGGGTGAGGGGCGCGGGCCGGGCGATGACAATAATCAGGGCGCGCGCCCCTGGCTGGCGCTTGACAGCGTGCGCCCCTGTAGGCTCGGGTGACTTCCTGCTTGCGTGAAGAAAGCCGGGAGCCGCGAGGTTAGGTGGCAGAAGAGGGTGGGGGTGCAGGGGCGCGGGGCGCGGGCGGGGAGGGGTGGGGCGGAGCGCGCCAGAGGAACCGCTGCCGCTGCGGCCGCTGGGGTTGCTGGAGCCCCAGATTCTAAGCGCTTGGCTGGATGGCGGTGGCCTTAGCCCCCGGCCCCGCTGTCAGCTAGGGGCGGCCCCGAAGCCCGTCGGACCCCGCCTTGCACCGCAGCCCGCCGGAGGTGAGGACGCGGCCGGAGGCGCGCGGGGACCCAAGCTCCGGGCCTGCGCTGCTCGGGCACGCGCAACACGGGAAGGGGACATGGGCTCCAGTCCCGCGTGGAGGGCAGAGCGTGGGGACTGCACGCTGCCGGGGATCCCGAGCCGCCCCATCTGGTGCCCGCGACCCCGCGCGCTGAAGGCTGCCTCCCCGCGCTATCCCGCTCCCCGCGACCACTGTGTCCTCCGCGATCCCTGCCTGGCATTGGGCCTGCCCAGCCTCCGCCGTCTGACCCCTCCCCTGCGTCCCAACCGCGCCCCCCGTCCTCGCCCACCTCTGCCCTTAGAGCCTACTCCGAGCCATGCTCCCTGTGCCCCGCAGCCTCCAGCCCGTGCCGTCCCACAGGTGTCCGCGCCCGTGCGTGCCGCTGTCCGCGCCCCTGGGCCCGGCGCCGACCATGCCCCGCGGCTGTCGCTGCCTGCGTCTCATGTGCCTGCTGTGCATCCTAGGCGCGCCGAGTCAGCCGGCCCGAGGTGAGCGCGCCCCGCTCCGCTCCGCCCTGGTCCTGCACGCCGCACCCGCGAACACGTTGACCTCTGCCGGCCGGGCCGGGCACTGCAGCTGCTCGGACCGCGGGGAAGGCGAGACGAGGGAGTCCCTTTGGGAGTGGGACGGTCTGTGTTGTCGGGTTTTCGAGCCCTGAATCCTCTCCCAAGTCCCGCATCCCAGGGAGCGGACCCTGGCCCAGGCTCATCGCCTGCACAACCATGTCTTGCAGCTGATGACTGCAGTGCCCGCTGCGACCTGGCTCACGGCTGCTGCATGCCGGACGGCTCTTGCAGGTATTCAGACCCTCCGCTCTCCAAGGGCAGCCCCCCAGACCCACACCCAAGTCACCCCCAGGGCGCAGTGTGGAGGGGCTTAGGACCCTACTGTGAGCCCCACTGTTCCTCAGCGGTGTGCAAAACAGATAGGCTGCCCCTGCCACACCACCACTGGGCCATTCCCCTTTGCCACCTTTGTCGGCTTCCTCTACTTCCCACGACTTCACAGTCCCAGGTCTGGTCCAGGGATTGTGAATGTTGTCCCTCCAGATACCCAGAAGGACCTGGAGATCAGAGCCAGGGGAACGGGGGAGATGAAAGAAAGAGAGGTGCTGTATGGGGAGAAAAGGCTGCAGGCAGGTGGCTGGGAGTTCTCCAGGAAGGAAGCTCTTTCTTAGTTGAGCATCTGCCTCAGAGGGGTGGTTGGGCAGGTGCTGCAGCAGGAGGTAAGTGTGTAGTTCCAGAAGCACCGAGCTGGCCGTGGTGGCACAGGCCTGTAACTCCAGCACTCTGGGATGCAATTTAGCGTTTAAGCAGGTCAGATGCTTGCCCTGGAATTGGTAAGAAGATAGTCCTTATAACCTTTCAAGGTCTTTAAATGTTTGTGCCAAAAGTGGTACTCAGGGTATTCACAGACATTGTCTTATTTCTTCCTCACACACCTGTGGGGAGTAACCTCAATTTCCAGGTGAGAAAACTGAGGTTCAGAAAGGTTAGACAAGGTGCACAAGCAGGACCCAAGTGCAGGTGCCTGGAGGTTTAATTCTGTATGTCCTTCGGCTCTGTGCAGCCCCACACCCACCTGGACAGGTCTGCCTTCCAGTGTATACTGTGTCTCTTGGGTTTCTAGAAACTCTGCTCTATCCCTCCAGCCCCTGCCCCCCATGCCCAGCCCTGACCATGTGTCTTCTTCCCATCAGGTGTGACCCAGGTTGGGAGGGGCTGCACTGTGAGAGCTGTGTGAGGATGCCTGGCTGCCAGCACGGTACCTGCCACCAGCCCTGGCAGTGTATCTGCCACAGTGGCTGGGCGGGCAAATTCTGCGACAAAGGTAGGGGGCAGAGGTGAGCTGTTGGCGAGGGTGGCTGTGTCTGAGGAGACTACCCATCAGCATTTATTGAGCACTGCTTGCATCCTGCTCCTATCCTCAAAAAATAGTCTCTTTCAGTTTCTTATCTGTTGGAGAGGCAGCTGCCAGAAACCGTATTCATTTTATAGATCAGAGACCCCCAGATCATCCTGGAGGCGTGTGCGGGGGGAGAGGAGTCCTAGGAGCTGCTGAAAACAGCCTTGGGCCATCTGGAGCCAGATGTGTTGGCCACCCCAGAGCCTTCTTTCTCTCCCTTCTTTCTCTCTACAGACGAGCACATCTGTACCTCACAGTCCCCTTGCCAGAACGGAGGCCAGTGCGTGTACGATGGGGGTGGCGAGTACCACTGCGTGTGCCCACCCGGCTTCCATGGGCGGGAGTGTGAGCGCAAGGCTGGGCCCTGCGAGCGGGCAGGGTGAGTGCTGGGCCCACAGCAAGGTCCGACTGAAGCTGGGAACGGGACGGAGAGGCAACAGTGCAGAGCGGGTGGAGGACTGAAGGTCACACCATGGGAGGCCGCTCCATGATGAGACGCCAGCCTGGCAAAGTGTCCGGGCTCAGGATTCTCAACTTTCCCGTTGCTTTCTGAACCATTTTCCAACAATAGCACTTGGTTAGAGAAGGAGGCAGACCAGATCACATGTGACTGCTATGATCAGGGAGTGGGGACAAGCTGGCCTGCAGCCCTTAAAGATGTCCCACGCAGTAGCCTTGCACGTCACTGTGTGAATGATGAAATGGCCCACAGGGCCAGACTTGCCCTGGTTTCCGCTTTGGGCCTGACTGGTCCTAAGGATAATGCACACTTATCCTGAGCCCTACCTTTGGGCCAGACCCTGTGCTCACTGCCTGTCACTATTTGGGAAGCTGGTACTACTTGTTTTCTTTTAAAATGAGGTGTTTGAGGCATGCCTATAATCCCACAACTGTGGGAAGCCAAGACGGGATTGTGAAATTAAACTCTGCCTGGGCAGCTTAGTGACTTAAGAAGACCCTGTCTTAAAAAATACAAAAGGACTGGAGATGGATAGAGCCCTGTGTGAAGGCCTTGGGTTCAATCCATAGTGTTGCAAAAAGAAAGAAAAGTGAAATAAGATGAGATGTCAGAGACTCAGTGGCCCAAGGGCGACACAGGTAGGAAGGGGAGCCAGGGTTTAGGATACTGACCTGGGCCACCCCACAGGCATCAGAAGTCAGTATCTATGTCCCTTCCCACTGCCACCATAGCTCCCCATGCCGGAACGGCGGGCAGTGCCAGGATGACCAGGGCTTTGCTCCCAACTTCACATGCCGCTGCCTGGCAGGCTTCGTGGGTGCTCACTGCGAGGTGAACGTAGATGACTGCCTGATGCGGCCTTGTGCCAATGGTGCCACCTGTGTGGATGGCATAAACCGCTTCTCCTGCCTCTGCCCTGAGGGGTTTGCTGGACGCTTCTGCACCATCAACCTGGATGACTGCGCCAGCCACCCATGCCAGAGAGGGGCCCGCTGCCGGGACCGTGTCCATGACTTTGACTGCCTCTGCCCCAGTGGCTACGGTGGTAAGACTTGTGAACTTGTCCTACCCATCCCAGACCCTGCCACCACAGTGGGCACCACCACAGGGTCCACCTCGGTAGCGGTGGTCCCTGCCACAGGGCCAGCGCCTCATAGCGCAGGGGCAGGCCTGTTGCGCATCTCAGTGAAGGAGGTGGTGCGAAGACAGGAGGCTGGGCTGGGGGAGTCAAGCCTGGTGGCCCTGGTTGTGTTTGGGGCTCTCACTGCCGCCCTGGTCCTGGCCACTGTGCTACTGACCCTGAGGGCCTGGCGCCGGGGCATCTGCCCCCCTGGACCTTGTTGCTATCCAGTGCCCCACTACACCCCTGCTCGGCAGGACCAGGAGTGTCAGGTGAGCATGCTGCCAGCAGGGCTGCCCCTGGCACCAGACCTGCCCCCAGAGCCTGGCAAGACCACAGCGCTGTGATGGTGGTGGGGGCTCCTGGCCCCCATCCTCACCTCCTCCACACCTCAGATGGCAGTGATCCTTCCTCAGCCCTTGGCACAGATGTATGCATTAAGGGGGCTTCAGCCTCACACCAGAAATACTATTTTTTTAATACACAGAATGTTTTATCAAATAAAACTGTAAAAATGCAAATGGGCTCTTATAGCAAAAAGAAAAAAAAACACCAGCCACCCACCTACAGGCTGAGGCGAGGGGCACCGGGACAGAGGCCTGGTCTGGGTGAGGCCTTCACACTTGGTTGCCAAGATGACAGCAGTGTCCCTATTCCCTTGGGGAGGAGGTAAGAGGTAGAGCCTTGGAGGAGGATGGATGTAAACAAGTAGCCAGCTCTTCTGCGCCAGCACTGGTACTCAGGACAGGGTGGTCCTGGGGGCTACAACCTGGAGCTCAGGTTGCCCAGGAGGGGCGGTGGTTCCCTCCAGGCCACTCTGCAGCAGCTGCTGGAATACTGAGTGTCCCTGGTCACGCAGGGCGGTGGGGGAGTCCAGCCCCACGACCCTCCCTGCATGGAGCACCAGCACCCGGTCGGAGTTCAGGATTGTATTGAGCCTGCATAGGAGACAGTAGTCAGTGTGGGGGCCAGGGAATAGGCCCCTGTAGGATGAAGCTGGCCTGCTGTCTGTCTCTGCCCCTCTGTCCCTCCAGACTGGTATAAGTATGTCCCCACAGGCTTTGTTCCCTCGCAGGAGGGACTGCTCGGTCCCTTCAGACAATGTGGTACCAAGGGTCAGGGCAGTGCCTAGAAAAAGGAGCCAAGATCTGAGCTCTGACCCTAAGGTCCCTAAAAGACTTGGGACAGTCCTCACCCATTCTCTCTGGGCAACAGCGCACCTGTGGGCGATGGTCAGTACTGTCTTGTTGGCAAAGCGTTGGCAGATGGTTTGCTGCAGCAGCTGGTCTGTCTTCTGGTCCACACTGGCTGTGGCTTCATCGATGCAGAGAATCTGGAATGTGGTGGTGTGTGAAGTGTGGGAGCCCAAGTTAAGAGCTCACCTCCAGCTGTTCCCTGCGATGCTCCACTCCTAGGCACATCCCAATTCCTTCCCAGTATCCTCCAGTGTCTCTTTTTGCCTCACCTTGGCATCTGTGAGGAGAGCCCTGGCCAGGCACAGCAGCTGTCTCTGTCCCAAGGATAGGCTCCGGCCCCCCTCGCCCACCTCACTGTCCAGGCCACCTGCAGGCACAGCACCATCAATGTAGGCCTCCCCAGCACCTCCCTGTGCTCCACATCAGGGACAGCACTCACCCATGGAGATGACCACCTCACTCAGGTGGCACTGCTCCAGGACCTGCCACAGGGCCCCGTCCTTGTGCAGTCCCTGTGGGTCTAGGTTTTCCCGAATGGTCCCACTGAACAGGAAGGGCTCCTGGGGGATGATAGCTAGCTGGGATCTGAGGACAAGGACATGGGAGCTGGCTGAAGATGTGGCTGCTTCCTGAAGCATAAGTTTTAGTGAAGGGATGAGAACTTCTAAGAAAGCCCAGGACGGGGGCTGAGCATGCACCCTCTGCTTCCCACTGCATTTTTTTTTTTTTTTTAATTGGCAGAACCAGGGATTGAACTCAGGCCCTTGCACTTGCTAGGCAAGCGCTTATTCTACTGAGCCGTCTCCCCGCCGCCACCCCCCCCCCCATTGCATTCTTGAACTCAGCTGGGGCTCTGAGCCATGTCAAAGACACCAAAGGCCTGGCCCTCATTCTCAGGAGCCCAAATCTCACTGAGGAATCAAGACAGAGGAAGTGAACATGCCACACAATGGGACACTGACTCCAGGGGAGGATTTTTTTTGGTTGGGTTTTGTTGTTGTTGTTGTTTGGCAGAACCTGGGATTGAACTCAGGCCCTTACACTTGCCAGGCAAGCGCTTATTCTGCTGAGCCATTTCCCTGGCCCCATGACACTGACTCCAGGGACAGCACAGGCTAGGGAGGGGACAGAATGCATGTGTGAGGACAGGACTGGACCTGAGGACCTGTCAGGTTGAGATACAAAGAGAAGCCACCACCACTTAGACAAGGCAGGGCCAGGGAACATTTAAGGCCCAGGGCTTAGGATCCATTATCCTGCCCCTTCCACGACAGGGAGCTGAGGAAATGACACTGGGCAACCTGGGGACAAGGGATCTGGAGCTCTGGATGAGGCTAGATTATGACCAGAGGCAACTGGCTCAAATCTCAAGCTGTCCCAGGCACCATCAGCTGAGCCCAAGGGCCAAGGAACCCTGGGAGCTCTGATTTAAAAGTGTCCACAAAGGACAAAACTGGAAGCGTGGCCTGCATCTCAGTGAGCAAGACCAAGGCCACTGCTGTAACTCTGACACAAATTCTCACTGCCTCCTGCCTCTCTCATCCTGCACCTCTGCCCCTATCACCCCTGGTTGTCCCAAGCTCATAGATGCCTTCTTGGCCATGACCCATTCTAAGTGCCAGGGTTCCTGGCTGCCTTTCTCCCCTAGGACTCCTATCCCTGTCCCCAGACCTGAGCTCGGCCAGCTCCAGCTGGCTGGTATCCATGTCATCCAGCAGCACCCGTCCTGCGCTGGGCTCCACCAGTCGGAACAGCACCAGGAACAAAGACGACTTCCCGGAGCCTGTGCGGCCCACAATGCCCAGCTTCTCTCCGGGCTGTACACGGAACGTCACCCCATCCAGGGCATGGGGCAGCCCTGGCCGGTACACAAGCACCACATCCTGGAACTCCACGCTCCCCTGGGTCAGCCAGCTGGCAGGCTGTGAGTGGGAGATGGAGGGACATGGTGAGGTGAGGAGGAGGCACAGTGCGGAGATAGGGGTGGGAGGGAGAAGTGGATAGGCAAGAAAAGGGATGGGATGAGGGTGGGTATGAGGATGCAGTGGTGACAGGGAGCAGAGAAAGATGACGACGAGTAAAGGGAGGAACAAGGAGAGACCAGGCCTTTGGAGTTGAGGGTCTGGCCTGGGGAAGGGGACAGTGCACCTGCAGCGGGCGGCCCCGGGGCTCCTGGGCCAGGTCACAGGAGTACTCCTCCAGCCGTTCCACGCTCACCAGCATAACTTCTGTCTGTGTGAAGCTGCTCACCAGGCCTGAGAGCAGCCCCGTGAGGGACAGGGCATAGGACAGTGCGAGCCCCACCAGCCCTGGGGAGATGAGTACAGTGCTAGGGGAGGGCAGACGGGCCAGGGGAACCCTGGCTGCGGATGGGGTGCTTCTAGGAAGTGGGCAGAGAGGTAGGGAGACGATGGCCTAAGGGCACACCCCAGGGAGGCTGGGGGAGTTGGGTGGGCTGTGGAAGCCATGAGGGGTGACAGTGAGAGATGGGGAGGTGAGTTGAGGGGCTAGGATCAAGGAAGGAGTGAAGATGGGAAGATCGGAAGACTTATTCCGTCTCAGATCTACCACGCAGGGGCAACTGCTCCTTGAAACTGTTTCTTCAACTCCAAAATGGAGATGATGGTGATAAGGCAGAGCCATCCGCACAGGGAACACTGGCTCAAGGTGGAAAGGCTGGGGGGCAGAATGGAAGGGATGGGGGCAGGAACAATGGGCCTGGGTGAGGGCAAGGGGTCTGGGTGGCACCTGGGTTCGCGAGGCCCTGCTGGTGCTGGACCAGGGCGATGCCCGCAATGGCACTGACCACCGCTGCCCCCATGAGCTGCAGCCGGATGTCCAGCCACTGCACTGTGGCGTAGGAAGCAAACTGGCACCTCTGGTTCAGCTCCAGCAGGTGCTGGTTCTCTTCCTCAAACCTAGGGAGGCAGATGAAAATGGGGCCCCCCTACTCCTGCACCCCAACACCTTCCCTGCAACCCACCTCCTTCCAAGAGCTGATCCACATACCTGTGGGCTTCAACTCAGGAAGGCAGAGATCCCCATGTATGCTTTTGTTTGTAACCCGGGCTGGCTTTGAATTTGCAGTCCTCCCACTGCAGCCTCTTGAGTGCTGGGATCCCAGGTGTGTACCACCATGCCCAGGCACTCTTTTGAAGGGGGCCTGCTCTGCTTTATGTTCTCTTATTTTCATCCTTCCTCTAGGACCCTCACCCCCTACCTCTTCCTCAGGAGGCCTGCGTTCCTCTTGCTCCTCACATCCCTCTTCCCAGTGGCCCTTCACCCTCCACCATAAGCTCTGGTTGGGATAAGTGACTCTACGTACCTGTAGGTGGCTCCAGCTGCCCGGAGCACAGGGAGGCCAGCCAAGGTGTCAGCCAGATGGGTGTAGAGTGGAGACAGCGTGAGGCTGCTCAGGCGCCGCAGCTCCCTCGCAGAGGCCCGGTAGTGGCGCTGCACTCGGTGGTACACAATGCTGAGCAGTGGCAGCAACAGCAGCAGCCAGGGCAGGCCAGAGCCCAGCACAACCAGAAGGCCCAGCAGGCCCGCCGCATTGGCCAGCAGGATGTTGAGGAGGAAGGGCAGGCTGTCATCCACACACGCCACATCAGAGGAGAAGCGGTTCACCACCCGGCCCGTGGGTGTGGCGTCGAAGAAAGACACAGGTGCCTGCAAAGGAGTGGCGGGCAAAGTGGACTCTGGAGAGAAGGGCTTGGCAGGGTGCCTTGAGGTGGGGCAGGGGGCAGGATGGTCCGGGGTTAGAAACAATAGCAGTAAAGCATGTCCAGGGCTTAGTGGCAGAGTAAGCACTGGTGGAGCTGGGAGGAAGACCATGCCAGGCAGGTGAGGTCCACATCCCAGGATGTGTTCACTGCCCTCCAAGAGAAGGGAATTAAGATAGGGACTTCTGGCTGGTGAGTGGCAGTTAATCAGAAGTTAGACAGCATGGTGAGGATTCTTGGCCAAAGTCAAAGTTACAGTTAAGAGCTGGGGCTCTGGAGTCGGACTGTAACCTGAATTTCAGCTCTCTTACTGGGAGATGTGAGACCCCAGGCTAGGGACACAGTTGCCGCTCAGCGGCTCCTGTTCCACTTCATCTGACAAGACAAGCATCAATTAACGGAACCACACCTCCTAGGGCTGCTGTTAGGATGAAAACACACCTGCACACCAGCCCAGTGCTTAGCACCTCTGCTTGGCACATACTAGGTGCTCAACAATCGCCAACCACTGAGGGTATGGTCTCGAGGACAGCCCTAGCCCGTCCCCACCTTCCCTGTCCCTATCTCTGCTTCCTACTTTGGAAGCAGTCCCATCTTTAGGTAGAGGACAGGTCAAATGCTTTTCAGTGCCTCAGCTTCCTTAGCAGGTAACAGTGCCTAACTCACAGGGTTATTGTGAGGGCTTAGCAACAGACAAGAAAGGGATCTGTAGTAACAGCAACTTCACAATTGTTAAGTGAGCGTCTAACGTGCTGCGCTGCAACCTATGAACTTCCCATGTGCTAATTAATGCAATGCTCACAACAAGCATGTGGGGTGAGCAGTAGACACTTAGCAACATTTTGGATGGATGGATTTTTAGAAACAGTGCCACATAAAAAACCCCAGAAACAAATGTGAGCACTAACATAGTATGATTTAAATAAATTAAAAATACAGGCATAAAAAACACAGGCATGTTACAAAAATACATACTGAGCACACTTTGTTTATCAGGAATTCAGAGGAGGTGGAAACCATGTATGGAGGAAGGGCCTTGCATGATCTATAAGGCCAACCCTTTGCATCTGACATCCAAGGGTGACGGAACCCTGAGGAAGTTTCTCTCTTTGTCCCATTTTATAAGTGGAAAAACAATGGGCAGAAATAACTAGATTCTGGCTAAATAAATGGCAAAGTAATGTTAAAAAAAAAAAAAAAAAAAGGGGGAAACTACCTGCTCGGCCCCCCCCTCCTGTCCCTCTCTCAGGACAGGAGCATTCTTTCTCTCAATAAATATATTCTGCTCATAACCTCCGTTTGTTCCTAAAATTCATTCTTCAGTTTTAGAGAACACGAACTCATGCAGGTCAGGTCCAGAGATTGTTTTTCTCTATGTCATTTGGAGGTTCCCTATATTGTTTGGAGGTCACCCACCCGAGACCAGTTTTTCTCCCTGTATCATTTTGGAGGTCCCACCGAGATCATTGGACGGAGGTGTGAGTTTGCTTTTCTTTCATAAATTCTGAGTTGGGACTTGCTTAGGTCCTCTATAAAAGTCCCTGCAAGAGACAACTTCCTGGGGGGAAACTACCCGCTCGGGCCGCCCGCTCCTGTCCTTCTCGGGACAGGAGCTTTCTTTCTCTCAATAAATATATTCTGCTCATAAAAAAAAAAAAAAAAAAGAAAAGAAAAAAGAAAAAGAAATCACTAGATTCAAGCCCAGGCAGCTACTTGCTCTGTGGGCTTCCAAGGCGTCATGTGCTACACCCATCAGTGAGGGGCTATTTGAGCCAGAAGGCAGGGATGCAAGAGAGGACATACATACACCCACACACACACTGTGTGTGTGTGTGTCTCTCACACACACACAAACACACACCACAGACATACACACACATGAGGGATGGATGGATCCACAGAACTAGGGCTGTCCCCCCACCCTCTCACCTGAAGGATGCGTCCCAGAAGACGGTGGTGCAGGGTGCCGGCGGCTCGGAGAGTGCCTGCTGCAAAGAACACTGCGCGGAGAAGTGTGCAGAGAGAATTGATACCAGCAATGGTTGCATACACGGTGAGGTAGAAAGAGACATCGGAGGAGCCATTGGCAGCTGCTTTGGGCAGTGGGAACACTGGGGTGCTGGGTGGGGAGGAGGCTGTGGGTAACCCAAAGTAGGGCCATGCAGGCTCCCTTCTCCCACTCTCAGCCCCCTGCCAGGCCACTCTGAGACCACTGGCCTGTGCCAGGGCTGCCACTCACCAGAGGCTGCCAGGAGAGAAGAGGAGCCCCGAGGTGCCCTGAGTGGCAGAAGCCAGCACCTCCCCAGAGCCATTCCCTCTTGCCCTCAGCTGGGAGATCCAATAGGACAGCCACCAGTCCGCGGCATTTCGTGTGGCTGGATGGGATGGAGGGAGGGAGGCTGTCTTGAGACCCTGTGCTCATTCGTAACCTCCTGCATCCCAGGCTCCTGCACTGCCACCCTGCTGCATGTGCCCTTGTCCTAGGCCATTGCCCTCCCACCCCAGGCACAGCACGGGCTCCAATGTGTAGCAAGGGCCCAACTGGGACTCAGAAGGCGGCCACGGGTGTGCTGTTTGTTTGGGCCCTGGGACTCTTGGAACTGGGGGCATGGTTTGTGTCCCAACTGTGGCCTATGCTTGGTGAGTCACTCGAGTCAATACTGATCAGTATGAGGTGATGGTGACGACCACCTGGACAGCATGGCCTTGGGGGACCAAGGGACTCCCACCTTGCATGAGGAGCAGGGAGAAGAGGATGAGGAGCGCCAGGACGCAGCCTACAGCCCTCCAGTACGCTCTGTATACGTGCAAGGCCACAGCGCCCTCCTTCTTGCTCTCCTCCTGCAGCAGGCGTCCACAGGTGCTCTGCTCCACCTCCAGGCCCTCGCTTGTGGCCTCCGGGCTCTGTACCAGTGAGGCCCTGGCTGTGTGAACAAGGGAGGTCACAGATAAATTAGGGCTTTGGAGGAGCCAGCAAGCTTTAAAACAAACAGTCTGGTGTGGTGGTGGAAAGCAAGCCCCTGCCTCCCACCTCTGGGCCACACCTGAGCCAGGCATTTGTCCATCCTCAGCCTGGGTTTTGGGGACAGCTTGTACCAATGGCAGAATCTCAGAAGGAGGCCCTGGAAGGTAGAAGGAGAAGGGGAAAGGGGTCACTTGGTCTATGCCAGGCCTTCCTAAAGGCCTGTGGTCCCAATTCCCTGTCCTTTCTGCCCTCCTCCCTCATCCTCCCTAGCATATTCTTGCCCTGGATGCTCCCAACTGTGCAGGACCGGTCCATCCATCCTTCTAGAGAGTGACCAGCAGAGGAACCAAGGAGGACAGTCACAGCAGAAAGTCGTACCCTGGCCACAGGTACCTCTTATTTCCATTGAACTTTTCAAATCCCCAGCACTCAATTCCTGACATACCGGTTGGGCTCCATTTCTTTCTTTTCTCTGATGGAATTGGAGATGACCATATCCTCTGAACCATAATCCTTTGGAGAGTTTCATTTTGTTTTCTTCACAAAGAGACTGTTCTAACCTGACTACGTATTCTTCCTGAGTCCAGAGGATAGACATGGCGGGCCCTTGTCAGCCAGAGGACATCAGACTGTTTTGAGGCCCTGAGCCTCTAAACCCCCAAAAGCAACTATCATAAAGCCCCAAGTGCCACTTCTAAGCCAGTTTTGTGAAGGCAGGAGGGCAGGGGAAGCAAACTCTGTGCCTGAAAACCTTCTGTGCTCCCTTCTTCCCTCACCCAGCCCCCAACACCTTACCAGCCTGGACGAGGCGTCCAGCTTCCAGGAGCAGCACCAGGTCAGCCTTCTCCAGATACTCAGTGCGGTGTGTGCACAGCAGCCGTGTGGTGTGGCTGAGGACTCCCAGGATGCACTTGTGCAGCAGGTGGCTGGCCACATCTGCATCCACAGCAGCCAGAGGGTCATCCAGGAGGTAGAGTGCCTTCTCCTGGGAGAGGGGAGGCAGCGGGGGCAGGCTTTGGTCTCAAGAAGTCAGAGGGGACAGTGAGAGCACTCTATAGTATCAGGGAAGGAAGTGAGACCTGCGGGTGGACTTCCCTCTAAACAGGCAAGGCTGGAGCTCAGGGCCTTTAATTCTGCTTTGAATCTGCAAGGGAGGCAGGGTAGAGTGGGGCAGGGTGACTGCATGCAGAGAAAATGATCCCCATCCCTCCACTTGGCCAAGCTCACAAGGTTCCAGGCTGCCTCTACCTCCCTTAACTTACCTGGTACACAGCTCGAGCAAGGGCAATCCTGGCCCGCTGTCCCCCGCTGAGGGTCACACCCTTCTCCCCCACCTCAGTCTGGTCTCCAGCAGGCAGAACCTGGTGGAACAGCACCCTGGGGGTCAGCAAACTCCCTGAAACCTTCTGCCCATCTCCTACCTTCATAAGAAAGAGATGACAAAGGTCAAGGGAGCCCGAGACAGGGTTTAAGTTGGGATGGGGAGTCTGAGTCGGAGGAGATAAACCATGATTGCAGTCTCACTTACAGGTCGCTTACTATTCTCAGGGTACTTTAGGGGATTATCTCATTTGAACCCCACATGGACCTTGTAGAGTTCCTATTTCTTTTTTAGAGATGAGGCAAAGCTCAGGAAGATCACCTACCCCTGGCCACAGCTTGTAAGAGCTAGGAAATAAAACAAGATTTTATTTTATTTATTTATTTATTTATTTATTTTTTGTGGCACTGGGGATGAAACCCAGGGGTTCTCTATCACTGAGCTACATCCCAGCACCCCTCTTCTCCTTTGGAAATCCCTAAGTCCTTTGGGTTCCAGAGGAAGAACCCATGATCCATACACAGGGAGTCTCCTAAGGGAAAAGCTGTCACTCAACCCTTCCTTAGTGCCCATAACAACACCCAGGACCCCAGGGACACCTAGGAGAGAAGTGCTTAATGTGGAAACATGCTAAACTGGCACAGGCTGCCCCACAGTCAAAGTCAAAGGTCCTCCTTCCCAGGGATTTTCACACATATCTGGGTGGGGTACTGGTGACTGTCTTGGAGGGGACTCTGGGGTTCCATGGAGAAGTCCTGGAAAAGTCTATAATCTCTTTCTCCTGATCAATTTGGTACCAGGGATTATGGGTAGACAGGAACCAAAGGACTTAGGGATTTCCAAAGGAGACCTTGACTCTTCCAAACCTTCTCAGTGTGTATGTGGGCGGCTCATGAGTCAGAACCCAGAGGCAGACCTGTGTGCAGCTATGTCTCACAGAAGACCCTCCTCCTGGCCCAGCATCTCAGGGCTTTCCAGGATGCTGCAGGGAACTGAGCCACCATCATCCCTTGGAGGCCTCCAGGGAGGGGAAAGCCAGGCACTGGGCACTGTGGGAGGACCAGCGTCTGATGCTGGGTGCTAGACCCATGATGACCCAGGAGGCGCAGCCTCTTCCTGGTTTGAGGTACGAGGGACACATGAGGAAGACGGGCCATGGCACTCACGCTCAAGTCCTCATTGAGGGCACAGGCCTCTAGCACCTCGCTGTATAACTGGGCATCGAATGTCTTCCCAAACAGGATGTTGTCTCGGATGGTGGCAAACTGGATCCAGGGTTCCTGGGTGGCCAGGCCAAAGCCCTTGGACAGCCCCCATACTGCCACCCGGCCATGCAGCCTGTGGAGCCAGGGGACCAGAATGGGGATCAGCTCCTTGCTGAGTCATTGATGCTCATCCCACTGCTTTCTACCCAGGGCCCTCTTCACGTCACGTGACTCTCTGGGTTGACAGCCTCTGAGGCTGAGGCTCATTCTGGACTGGGACAATGAAACCGCTCCTTGCTACAGCCAAGCAGCTATATGTCTATACTCCAGGACTCTGGAGATGTGGTGGCACCCTGCTGTCCCCGATGACCACAAGTCTCTCAAACCCACGCTGCTCCCCTCCCTGCACAGCCCCGCATTTTGAAAGAGCTCCACACCTTTCCTTTGCCTTCTATTATAGCTCTTACGATGTCAGTCTGAGGCTGCTGACTTGCTGTTGCAACTGCTTCCCTCTGCCTAGCTGAAAGTTTCCCAAGAAACGGGGTGTGCCTCAATTTCTTGGTTCTCCCCAAAGGTGTGTGGCACACGGCAGGTGCTCAGTTCAGGCTACTACAGGGAAGAGCCACGGACAGGGAGCGCTGGAGGTTCATTACCTGTGCAGCTCCCCTATGATGGCAGCCAACAGCGAGCTCTTCCCGCAGCCCACCTTGCCCACGATGCCCACCAGCGCCCCCTGTGGGGAAGCCACGTGGTAAGGATCTGTCACTTGCAGGGGTAGGACCAGGGGGACAGTGATCTCTCTGGGCTCCAGCTGCAGGGAGGGACTTTTCCCTCCATGGATCACTGAGCCATGGGCCACTGTCCAGCTCTATGCTAGACCCAGAGAAGCCTGGTGTCACATTCTCTGCTCAGGGGCACTATCACTGTCACTGGCTGAGTGAAGGGCCTCTGAGGGAGCAACTTGTCAGAGAGCATGAGTGAAGCTGCTGAATAACCTCCAAGTTGCCCTTGAAGGTGGACACAACGGAATTGGGGAATGGAGGCAAGGATTTAGGACCTACCTGAAGGGCTAAGTCAATCCTTGCCTAGATTTCCAATAACCCTGGGCAAAGAGCAGCACTCTGCATAGATATCCACTCCTGTGATTAATAGTTTAAAATCTGTTCTCAAGAGCTGATTGTGGTGGCATAGGCCTGTAATCCCAGCATTCAGGAGGCAGAAGCAGGAAGATCACTAAGAGTTCAAAGCCAGCTTGGGCTATATAATCAATTTAAGGCCTGCCTGGATTACATAGTGAGACCTTGTCCCAAAACCACTCCCTTAAAAAAAATAGTAATAATTCCTCAGTGGAAGCAGACTGAAATCTTAGAGGTTCTAATTGTCTACGATGTCCCCATCCTGCCAGTCAGGTGTAACCCACTGCAAAACAGGCAGCAATTCATCTGTGACCCTCCCTGGGAACCCAGGCTCAGGCCCTGGAGATGGCTTCCTCTCCTGGTGGCTACAGCCCCTAAGTGGGCGGGTTCTCTGCTGTCCCACCTCGACAGCAGTGCTTGGGTCCCTAGGGAGAAGCAGCAGGCAAAGAGCACAGCGGATGGAAGGCAGAGATCTGCAAGTTGAGGCCTGGCTTGGGGCTGTTCCTAAGACCTGGCTGTGTTGTTGCCTTTGGATTCTGCAATTCATCTCTCTATCCCTATTACAAATTCTTGTTTGTTTAAGGCAGCTTCAGTGGGTTTCTACAACTTCTTTTCAAAACCTTCAACACCTCAGTAAAATTTCTTTGAAAAATTCCAGCCTTGTCTTGCCTGAACTAAGAGGAAAACAAAACCTATAGTCCAGGCCAAAAACATGAGCCAAAAGTGGTGGAGGCCATTTAGCTACCACTGAAGAACTCTGGGTTGAGCCATTGGGCAAAGGGTGAGGTGGAGGTCAGGAGAGAGTAAAACCGTAGGGCTGGCATGAGCAGGAGTTGCCTTCCTGCCAGAAAAGTTGCCTGACTGTTAGTATAGCATGAGTCAGAAGGCGTTCTTTCTACTGCTGCTTTCTTTGTACTCCATTTGCAAAATCTTTCTCGTAAGGGGTGGCTGGCCCTCGCCCCCAGGTCCCCAGCCTGGAGGATGCTGGATGAGCCCTGGGGTCTGCTTGGGAACTCTGCGTTATTCTGAGAGTTGTGCACTGAGGAAGGAGACTCAGAGATGAGGTTCTTCTCTTCTCAGCCTGGAACCTGCTCACCCAACCCCTCCACTCCCATTGAGCAGTAGGATCATCGTGCTGTGATGGGCTTGGCCCCATGCATCTGTTCCTGAGTCCCCATCACCCATGCTCCAGGGACCCTCTTGGCGTGTCTGCCCAACGAACCTTTTTCACTTCAAGGTGACTGATAAAGGTCTCCTGGCTGGTTCCAGTGGGGTCCCAGGAGAACAGGGCTTCGTGCAGCTCTAGTACTGTAGATGGCTCTGTGGGGGGTTCTAAACAGGAAAGAAGCCACTCTCACTCAGGGCTCTACTTGGTCAGGAAGGGTGCACAGAAGCCCAACACTGGCTCAATTGTCCCTTATCTACCTGGCCAGAGTTGCTCAATCTGTCTGGCCTGCTCTGCTGGGATGCTGATGCTTCAGACTTCCGCCAGTAGCACCTATGCATACTGCCCAGGTAGCTACAGCTCACCCTCGTCCCATGCCAGGTTCTGCCCCATGGCTTCCATACCTGGGCTATAGTAGGCTTGGGGGTTGTAGTCTGGAAGGTCAAGGAAATGCTGGATCCGGTCCAAGGACACTTTGGCTTCCAGGAGACCATTGATGACCCAGGGGAAGTTGTTGAGGGGGAAAATGAGCATGCGCACCAAGGCCAGGGCCGTGAACACCTGAGTGGGCGGAAGGGAGAAGGCATCACTGGGTCCCCAGGAGCCACCCAAGGCTGCTCTGGAGTGACCCTGTGGTCAGGTCTGTGGAGGGAAGATCAGGGCAATAGCAGACCTGGCTGGGCAAGCTTGGGTTGGAAGTGGCAGAGGTGGCCACACTGAGGCCTAGCATTATAGATGTTAATCTGGGGGTTCATGGGGGTCAAAGCCCAGACCTCACACATGCTTTACCACTGAGCCATACCTTAGCCCCCCAGGTCATATGGTGATAAGTGTGCAGGCCTAGCTCATTCTGAGGCCTCCTCAGACTTTCTAAGTGCCAGCATCACACGTGGACAATCCCACACACAAGGCCATGAGAATGATAAAGGGGCCTAACACTAAGCCTGGGCCTGCCTGACTAGAAGCTGGAGTAGAAGGAAGTGAAGAGGAAGAAAAGGAATTCCTTCTAAGGTTCTAGAAAAGCCAGGCATGGTAGTGTACACCTACAATCCCAGAACTCAGGAGACTGAGGTAGGAGGATTGCTGAGAGTTCAAGGGCAGCCTAAACTACATAGTGAGGCCTGTCTCAAAAAACAAGCAAAACAAAAAACCCAAGATCCCAGCACTTGAAAGAATATCCCCTTGGCTGGGAAGGACATGCAGCCAAAGATCTTCCTTCCTTCCAGAACCTGAGCTACATCTCCACTCCACCTCCCCTCCCTCTCTCCTACACCTCCCTATTGCCATTCTCACCTCCCAGGCCTCACCTTGGTGGCAGTGAGCTGGTGTCCCATGAGGACATAGGTGATAAAGATAACAATGGAGATGACAACTGGCAGGGCAGCCCACAAGTACACACAGGCTGCATCCAAGTATTTGATGACCCGCAGCCGCCCCAGTTCTTGGGCCCGGCAGCCCTCTACCCGGGTTGCCATTGCTTGCTCCCAGCCGAAGAACTTGATGACACGAATGCCTCTTAGCAGCTCTGTCATGAGCTGGAGAAAGGAGACAAGAGAGCAGCATGAAGACACTGCGTGGGTGTCTTCTCATCTGCCTGGATGTTGCATGGGATCCCCCATTGCTAAGGGACCCACAGTACTCCCTCCTCACCTTAACCCGTGTATCCTTGTGCTGCAGCATCTTCTGGTTGCTGGCCATGATACGGGTGGCAATTATTTTGTTGATGGGAACCAGAAGCAGTGCCAAGACCAGTCCACCCACAAAGGCCAGGCCTACCTGCTGGTATAGCATGTAGAGGGTGATGGCCAGCTGCAGGGGCAGCCCCCAGGCCTCATGGAAGCTGCCAGTGAAGTTAAGCAGCCGTTCAGAGTCAGTGCCCAGTAGATTGAGCACCTCCCCAGTAGGAGGGCGCCTGGGCCCCAGGTGCAAAGCCTTGTGGTACAGTATGTTAAGCACTGCACCCCGGGCCTGGAGGGTCACCTTCCGCACCTCATAGCCATACTGATTCTGCAGCACAGCGCCAAGCACTGCACCACCAGCTAACCCCAGGGCATAGAGCAGGCCCTGGCTCAGTGGCTCCTGCCCTTCCTCCAAGAAGTTCACGAGCAGGGATAGCAACAGTGGCCCTGAGAATCCCAGCATGGTGCCCACCAGCTTTAGCACCCCAAGGGCCAGGTAGCACCGACCAAAGGCCCCGTACAGGGACCTCCACAGCTGGGCCTCTTTCTGCCAGTGTGCCTGGAAGGCACGGGCTACATAGGCTGGGTGCAGCCTGTGGGGAAGGTGGCAAGTGTCCTGGGGCTGCCGCAGTTCTCCACAAGCCCCTCGGACCAGCAAGGGGCTCAGCCAGGCATAGGAAAGGCGTGACAGCCAACTCTCTCCATCTTCAGCCACCTCGGGTTCTCGGCCCATGGAAGACAAGAAGGGCTCATGTGTCCAGGGTTCTGGTGGTGGTACCCCAGGGGCTGCCCAGCCCAGGCCATAGGCCAAGACTGCTGCCAGCTGCAGAATGAGAAGACACAGACGGGCCAGGGGCCCTGGAAGCAGTGGGGGCAGAAAGGTGCCTTGTTGGCAATGCCACAGCAGGGTCAGCACCAGGGCAGGGGCTGGCAGAAAGGCCACCAGAGCCAGAGCCCAGGGTCCCCGTGAACGGCCCCTAGGGGAATGTGCCAGTGCCCACAGGGCCAGGCTATGGCTGGCCCAGGCCACTGCTGCCACACACCCTGCTAACACTTCCAGCCCTATGGGACCTGGGCCTGCCCCTGGCGGCAGAACAACTGGAAGGAGGTCTACCAGTGGGAGAATGGAGAGCAGGAAGGCAGCTGCAAATCGGAGGCGCCATCCAGGACTGGAGGGCAGGATGTGATCTGGACTCCTGGGGATGTAAAAGAAAAGAACAGAGAGAGTACATCATGGCTGACCCAGGGGCCAGAGGTGGACCTCACCTCCGGCAGCTCTCACCTAAAGGAATGACCTCCCTTTCCTACCTTCCACATGGTGCCCATTTACCTTAGAACTCAGGGCCTTTTCACCCAGGAAGCCTTCTCAAATTGACCCAGGCCACTTTCAGGTGAGGTTTATTTTATTTATTTTATGTTTTATTTTGTTTTGGTTTTGATGCCAAGGACCAAACCCAGGGCTTCCAGCCTGCTGAGTAAGCATTCTACAGCTAAGCTATATCCCCAGACCCCTAGACCACTTTCTAATTACACACACTATCTGGTTTATTCTTTACCATAGTCATTAACAGCTTTGAGTTGTTTGTACCTACTATGAGGGCTCTAATTAGAAAAAAAAAAAAAAAGGAGTTTGAAGCTAGCCTGGAAAATTTGTAAGATCCAGTCTCAAAACAAAAAGGAGCTGCCCCTCAAGAATAGAGCATTTAACAGGGCATGGTGGAATATGCCTGTATGCCTGTAATCCCAGCATTCAGAAGGCTGAGGTAGAAGGGCTGCCACAAGTTTGAGGCCAACCTGGGCTACATGGTGAATTCAAATCCAGCTTGGACTACCTAGCAAAACCTTATCTCCAGAAACAAACAACTAACAAAAAAAAAAAAAAAAAAAAAAAAAAAAAAAAAAAAAAAAAATAGAACATTTGCCAAGCATGCACAAGGACCTGGGTCCAATCTCCCATATTGCAAAGAATATTGAATTTGTTATGTTGTTTGTTGGCAGGATTTAATTAGTTTAGTTGTATAACAAAATACTTTGGGTTTTTTAAAGAATCCATCTAGTATCAGTTAAATAGAAGGATTTAGGTTAAAACCACAGTTAGCTTTTAAGATGTAGGGACAGAAAAAAGAGCAGGTTGTACACTGGTCTGCACTTGCACACCTGCAGGTTGCACACTGGGCTGAAGTTGCAAAATTCTTCCCCTTACTGGAGTAGAGAGCGCTAAACAGTCAAGACCCAGAGTACTCTGGCATCCCTTCCTATCTACAATTCTGAATTCCTCTAATCTCCACCAACAATGCACAAAAGCCTGCTTAGTAAAGTGAGATAGCCACAATGTCTATTGATTACACAAGGAGTTTCCTTATCTTCCCATTACATTGAATTCTAAATTCAATGAGTCAATTTTTTGTTTTTGAGGCTGGCCTCAAACTCCTAGGGTCAAACAGTCTTCCTGCCTCAGCCCAAGCAGTAGAGACTACAGGAACAGCACAACAGCACCTAGCCCATCTAGGACTGTGCTGTTTTTAGGAGCGCCTTCTCTGAGCAAGTGGTGGATGTCTGTGCTGATTAAACCTCTCTAGACCTTTGTCTTGCTCCAGGTCAGGAACAAATGAGGATCCCTCCCAGACCAAGCAGGTCTGCTATACTTTCTGCCCAAGGAAAGAGGGCTACATTTCCCTAATTCCTCCTGGGTGGAGACCCACTTTTTCTTTCATCAACCAAGCACACGACGGACCCTAAACGTGTGACTGCTTCAAGTTCTGATTTCCTTAGCCCAGTAACACTGAGTTTCCACAGAGGGAAGTGTTGACAAACAGGTCCTACAAATGCAACCCAAGTCACCCTTACGGGTTAAAACACCGTACACCTATTTTTGACTTAAACTTGTACCAGTTGTGCCTGGGCACCTGAAGATTTACAACAGTGATGCATCACGACTTAAAAATACCTCAGGCATCACACTGGCAATATGCTTAGATGCGTTATTTCAGTTACCCCTCTCAAAGCAGACCCTGCTGCTGAATGGTAGCCCTCAGCTTTTATTTTGCTTCTGCCCTGGGCCAGGTCTCACAGGCACCTGCGGGTGGAAAGGGGCTAAGTATACAAATGGGGGCTCTGGGCAAGGTCTGCAGCGCTCTCCATACGCACCTCGGAGTGCCCCAGTAGCAGGCACTGAGCACGGCCTGGAGCGCGTGGGGCAGGGCGCTGAGCACCAGCTGGGTGAAGCAATGGCCGGTGGTGCCTCCTTCCCACAGCGGGAGCGGCCGCGCCGCACTGGTACCGCACAGCTGCGACAGGACCAGCTCCATGAACGTCTCACCTGAGCCGAAAGCCGGGATCAGCAGGCGGAGCGCGCCCCGGAGTCCACTGCCAACCCCGCCCTAACCACGCCCCTAGCCACGCCCCCGACAACGCCCCTCCAGGCCCCAACCCCGCCTCACTTCCGCCTCCAGTCAGACCCCGCCCATTTTCGCTGTGCCTCTTTCCCTCCCCAACCCCCCAGCCCCGGAACCGGCGCCCTTGCGCTTGCCAGGAAGGCACTTATTCTACTGGGCCATCTCCCCGGCCCCTCTCGCCATACCTCTTGAGAACGGCAAGGAAGTTTCGCTTTACAGAGCTGGAGGATTTCCGAGGGCCGGTCAGCTCCCTGCCAACCCTTTTCCTTTTTCTGTCTCGCTGTAGCCAGGTATCTAGAGCCTCAAAGCTAAAGAAGTTATTTTGCGCCGGATTCCAATGTCCTGAGTACTGGGGGAAACAAAAGGACGCGCTCGGGTCAAGGTGCCGGGGCGGGCTCGATTGTCGCCCTCTAGGGGCGGGAAGGCCTATCAGGTACTATTTGTCCCATCCCGGCTCAGGACACTGCGCATGCGCTTGTGATACTTTAGGCTGGGATGCTCTTCACGCAGGCGCATTGCTGTAGGCGCGACTCCTTGTTTAGGCACTTTTTTCTTTTCTCTCTCTCAGTATTGGGGATTGAACTCAGGACCTTGCGCTTGCCAGGCAAGCGCTTATTCTACCGAGCTGTCTCCCCGGCCCTAAGGCACGTTTATGTTCTGTTCGTGGATGAGGACGCTTCCCTTCGCTACTGCAAAATCCATTTTGTACCCGTCCACTTGGAATACTTTTACTGGCTGATTCCACAGTTGTGCTCACTAATACATGAAATCACTGGGAGACTAAACATGCTTCCTGTGCTGAGGAATAATGCCACTAACGTTGGTGATCTTTCTCGGGATGTTTTTCTAATCGCTTTGAATCTCATTTTTTACAATGGGGACAGCAATAATACCAAAGTGCTGAGAGGTGTGTAAATAAAGAGTACTTAAGGAAGTGGTTTGCCAAAAAAGAGTTCTCAAAACTCCCTTTTTGAAGAAAATCCTGATTACACAGGAAATACTTTAAAGAATCGACAGCTGGGATCAAAAAAGCTTTTGGACAATAAAAGAAACCATTGGGGGGCTGGAGAGATGGCTCAGTGGTCTAAAGCACCTACTTGGAACAAGCTTGGCAAAGCACAGGGACCGCGGTTCGATCCCCCAGCACCACATGCCAGCCAGCCCCGCCCCCTGGTGGGCTGAGCTGGCCACACACACACACACACAATAAATAAATATAAAATAAAAAAAAAAAAGAAACCATTGGGGCTGGGGAGATAGCTCAGTGGTCTAAAGCGCCTGCTTAGGCAAGCTTAGGCAAAGCGCGGGGAACTTGGTTTGATCTCCCGGCACCACATGCTGGCCAGCCCCTCCCCCAGGGTGGGTTGAGCCCGTCACCAAAAAACCAAAACAAAACACATCAACATAGGAAACTGACAACTCACTGAGTGGGAAAAATTTTAGCCAGTTATTCATCAGACAAAAACATCTACAACTGTAAAGAACTGAAAAATATCAGACCCTCCCACCCCTGCAAATTTAAAGACTCAATCCAAAGGTGGGCATCTGAGATGAATGCACATTTCTCAGAGGAAGAAGTTCAAACACCAGATGAATACATAAAATCTTCAACATCATTGGCCATTTGAGAGATACATTGAGATTTTTATCTCACCCCAGAGAGAATGGCTGTTACCAAGAAAGCAACTAATGACAAGTGCTAGAGGGTATGTGGGGGAAAAGGAATTCTTTTCTACTGTTGGTGGGAGTATAGACTGGTGCAACCACAGTGAAGATCAGTGTGGAGAGTCCTCAAAAAACTAGGACTAGAGGTCCCATTTGACCCAGCTATTCCCCTTCGTATCTTTTTTTTTTTTTTTTTTTTTTAATGTATTTGGTTCAGGGCCTCACTATGCAGCTCAGACTCATAGTGATCCTTCTGTTTGCAGCCTCCCCAGCACTGGGATTACAGGCGTGTGCTACCATGCCTGGACTCAGTCACCACTCAGTGTGCCCCAGGGGTGGGGCTGGCACAGCATGTGGGACCAGGGTTTGGTCCCTGCACTTGCTGGCCCCTCCTTGGTATCTTGTGGAAAGAATTAAAAGCATCATACCACAGCAATATATGTGCACCCATGCTTAATAGTGCAGTTTGTGAAGGAGAACCGCTTGGGCAACTCTCATTAAAGAAGGAGCAATTATCTCCATTTTGGCTGAATCTGTTCCTGTTGCCATGCACGTGTCTCAGTTACTTTTCTCTCAAAATGAAGGAAGGAAAGGTTTATGAAGGTCACAGTTACTGGAGGTTTCAGTCCATACTCAACTGGCTCCAACGCAGAGCAGTACATGGCAGAGACCAGCCCTTCATGGAGGCAGCAAAGAGCAAAAGAGCAAACTGGTGTGGCAGCAACAATGGCTACAGAGAGCAAGTCTGTCTCCCTTAAGGTGCATTCAGGCTATCTGCCTCAGGCTGGGTGTAGCTCTTACACATATAATCCCAGCAGCACTTAAACCCATAATCCCCCCCCAAAAGAATTAAAAAAAAAACCATAATCCCAGCAGCACTCACACCCATAATCCCAGTAAATGATGAGTTAATCACATACTCTAGAAGTCCACCTCATGACTGCATGAAGCTTTGCGGGGACAACTAGACACAAACCATAACACTAGTTTTCCTTATCCCTTCAGTTGGCTTTAAGTAATGCAAATCAGTCCAACCTAGGTACTGATGAGCCAGGGGGAGTTGGGATGGAGAGCCCTGCTCCACACTGTTGGTTGGGATTCAGCATCAAGATAAGAGGCTATGACTTCCCAGGGCATAAAAGATCACACAGCAGAAAAAAAAAAAAAAAAAAAAAGATGACACTGCGGAGCTGGAGCATTGGCCCCCAAACATCGCATGCTACCTCAATTGTGTTGTGCCCAGTACTCTTTCTGCATATCCTTTTCTCTGCTTATTGCAGAGGTGATTTCAGGCCCTTAGCTAGCTCAGCTCATGATGCATACTTCTCACAGTCGTCCTTGAGCCCACTTGCTTCTTCACAAATTAATAAAACCTGGGCTTGGCCCTAGTTAGGATCCTTTGTTCCAGTTAGCCATTAAAGAAAGAAATTTAGCAACACAAGACAGAATTATATACATTATATTGTTATGTTTATTGCTCTTTGCTTCCTAATGTCCCAAGGGAGCAAGGAACACTAAACAGAGCCCAAGAACTGCTGTCTCTCTTGTAAATCCCCACAAGCTGGGATAGAAGGCTACAGATAACAGCTTTTACTGCTGGCGCCCTGTCTGTTTTTGATCCCTTGCTTTGGCTGTTATCAGCTAGCTTTGTGTAAACTTAGATTTGGGCAAATGGCTGAAGGCAACAGAGAGAGTAGTTTGTGTTCACAAAAGTAGCCATGTACATTCCTTAGCCTGCTTTTAGCCATCAATAAATGTGGCTCCACTCACTTAGAGAGAGACTAATCTCAGTGAGACCTCTGAAGCTCTATTAATCCAGTCTTCTGGTTGTTTCTCTAGGCTCCAGTTATACAACAAGCCATCATTGTGGCTGGAGTTAGGAAGCCCTTGGCTCCTTGTAACTACAGATACGTGTTAGTGTCTTTATTCTTGCCATTAGTTGCATTCAAAGTGGTAGTTTGAAATTAAGTCCCTAGAATTCCACTAACTTTTCCATGAGATTATAAATATAAACTTTCTGGGCCTCGATGAGGACCGGGAAGGGTTCTCTATGAGTGTGAAATAGCCAAATCCTAGAAACAACCCAGATGCCCATCAAGGGAGGAATGGACAGAGAAACTTTTTTTTTTTATTCAATGGCATACTCAGCCATGAAGAAGGATAAGCTTGAGAAATTCCTGAGCAAATGATGCACCTTGAGACCATAGTGGTAAGTGAAATAAATCAGACACACATGTAAATACTAGATTGTTTCTCTGCTGTCAGAAACTGAAAGTGTAAATACAGACCAAAATGTAATTAGGTACTGTGAAGAAGAAAGAAAATATTCAAACGGGGAGGGGAACAAGAGAGGGGGGAAGGGACAAGGGACAAGGTAAAAAAGAAAAAGGAAAATGGAAATGAAGCTTTTGTACATGGGCCGAGGAGGGCTTGAAGGGAGAGTAAGGAATGGGAAAAAAGAAAAATCAACATATGTGATGGACTAATACAAATTCCCTATGAAAAGTGATAGATTAGGGAATTCTCAATTGTATTAATAATCTTAAAAAGAAATAAAACATTGGTCATGAATTATCAAAAAGGCCTGGGAGATGGCTCAGTGGAATAAGCACTTCCCTGGCAAGTGCAAGGGCCTGAGTTCAATTCCCAGTTCC